GGCATTTAGTGATTTATGGTATTTCTCCAGAGGTTCCACTTTTTGGCATTTAGTGATTTATGGTATTTCTCCAGAGGTTCCACTTTTTTTGCATTTAGTGATTTATGGTATTTCTCCAGAGGTTCCACTTTTTTGGCATTTAGGATTTATGGTATTCTCCAGAGGTTCCACTTTTTCGGCATTTAGTGATTTATGAGTATTTCTCAGATGTTTTTTTGGCATTTAGTGATTTTCTTTCTCCAGAGGTTTTTTTCGGCATTTAGTGATTTATGGTATTTCTCCAGAGGTTCCAATTTTTTTGGCATTTAGTGATTTATGTGTATTTCTCCAGAGGTTCCACTTTTTCGGCATTTAGTGATTTATGGTTTCCACTTTTGGCATTTAGTGATTTATGGTTTTCTCCAGGTTCCACTTTTTGGCATTTAGTGATTTATGGTATTTCTCAGAGGTTCCACTTTTCGGCATTTAGTGATTTATGGTATTTATCCAGAGGTTCCACTTTTTGGCATTTAGTGATTTATATTATCCAGAGGTTCCACTTTTTGGCATTTAGTGATTTATGGTATTTTCTCCAGAGGTTCTCCAATTTTTGGCATTTAGTGATTTATGGTATTTCTCCAGAGGTTCCACTTTTTTGGCATTTAGTGATTTATGGTATTTCTCCAGAGGTTCCACTTTTTTTTGGCATTTAGTGATTTATGGTATTTCTCAGGTTCCACTTTTTTGGCATTTAGTGATTTATGGTATTTCTCCAGTTCCACTTTTTCCATTTAGTTTTATAGTATTTCTCCAGAGGTTCCACTTTTTCGGCATTTAGTGATTTATGGTATTTCTCCAGAGGTTCCACTTTTTTTGGCATTTAGTGATTTATGGTATTTCTCCAGAGGTTCCACTTTTTTGGCATTTAGTGATTTATGGTATTTCTCCAGAGGTTCCACTTTTTTGGCATTTAGTGATTTATGGTATTTCTCCAGAGGTTCCACTTTTTTTCGGCATTTAGTGATTTATGGTATTTCTCCAGAGGTTCCACTTTTTTGGCATTTAGTGATTTATGGTATTTCTCCAGTTCCACTTTTTTTTGCATTTATTTATGGTATTTCTCCAGGTTCCACTTTTTGGCATTTAGTGATTTATGGTATTTCTCCAGAGGTTCCACTTTTTCGGCATTTAGTGATTTATGGTATTTCCAATCAAGAAGGAAAAAAACGGGGGAAAATTTTTTTTAAAACCCGCAACATTTTTTTTTAAAAGGTTGGGGAAAAAAAAAAGGGGGATTTGGGAAAACCCCCCCGGGGGAATTTTAAAGGAAAAATTGAAAAAAAAAACCCAAGCCAAAAAAGGGGGAAAAAAAAATCGGCCCCCTTTTTCCCCCCCCGGGGGAAAAGGGAAAAAAATTGTAAAACCCCCCCAAGGGACGGGGGTTGGGAATTTCCCGGAAAGGGCATAAACGCCCCGTCTTTCCCCCCAAGGGGGAAGAGTTGGTAAAATTTTCGCCCCCAAAAATTTTTTTGTTTTTTTGAATCCCTTAAAACCCGGGAGGTAAATTTTTCCCTTTTTCCCCAAAAGTTTTCCCAAAAACCCCAAAACCTTTCCCTTTGGGGCCCCCCCCCAAACCGGGGATCCCCTTTCCAAACCCAAACACCCCAAAAAAAATTTTTTAAAAAAACCCCCCCCCCTACTATTGTGGGAAACCCAAAAAGCCCCAAAAATACCAAAATTTTTAAAAAAGGCCCCTTTAAACTGAACCCCCAAGGGAAACCCCCCTTTGAAAAGGGGGAAGAGGGGGGTTTACCACAATAAAAAACCCCCCCAACCCTTTGGAGCTCCCCGTAAACCCAAAATTTTTTAAATTTATCATTTTATTTGGGGGTTTTCAAAATAGGGCCCCCCTTTGGAGGTTCTTGGGGCCCCCCAAAAGGGTTAATAGCGGTCCCCCAGTTTCATTAACATTTTTGTGAAATTTTAAAAAAATTTTTTTTAACCTTCCCCCCAACTTTTCCCCAAAAACCCGACTTTTTTCTGCGATTCTTTTCCCCCAACCCCTTCCGAAATTTAAACTCAACACCTTTCCCTTTTTGATTAAAAGACAGGGCAAAAACGAGGGTCCTGACCCCCCAGTGGGAGGGACAGCGTCAGTGGGCCTTCCCAAAGCGGTAAAAAACAGCAGGGCCCCAAAACCCAGCCACATTGTTCCCTGGAATGGGGAAATGGAACCTAATTGAAGTCCCCGGCCATCGCCCCCCCCCACCAGTTTGTTTTGTCCCAAACGGCACCCCCCCTTTAAAATACCCTTGAATCCCAAACGGCCCCAAAAAAAAAAGGCCCCGTTGGCAGGGCCAAAACCCAAAACTTTTTTAAAAACCAACCAGGAACCGAAAACCCCCCTGGGCCCGGTATCCAAAAGGCCCCTTCGCACGAGTGTTGCCCAAAAAAGAACCTTGGCCCCCCAAATAAAAAAACCAAACTCCTCCAACAAAAGATCGGCACGAAAAAAGGGGTTTTGTGGGTAAACACCCCAGGACAAAGGCCGGGCGGGGGGGGAGCCCCCCCCTTCCCCCCTCACATTCAGACCTTTTTGGCCCCCCCAAAACCTGCAAAAAAAAGAAAAATAACGCAAAAAAAAAACCCCAAAAAATTTTAAAAAAGGGAACGTTTCCCCGGTCTCCCTCCTAAGGATTGCCCTTCTGTACCCCGCCCCCCGGGGAAAGAAGGGCCCTTAAAGGGGGGGGAAAAACCCCCGGGCCCTCCCGCACTTTTGCATTCTTTTTAAGCCTTTGCGCCTTCCCCCCCTTTACCCCGGGGGGAAGGTTTTCCCAAAGGGGCCAAAAAAATGATTCCTTTATTGTCCAACAACCCACTGAAAAATTTTGGGGGCCCCGACCCATCCGTGCAGTTTTTTCAAGGCTAAGCCCCGGGGGGGGTTTTTCCCTTTCCCTTTTTTTAAAATCCGTTTCCCGGTTTTTTTTTTTCCCTATCTGGGGGTGGGTGGGGGGGGGATGGGGGAAGAAGGGGTTGGGAGGGGAAGGGGAAAGCGGGGGGTTGGGGGGCGGGGGGTGAGAATTAGCAAAAGGGGGGGCCCACCGGGTTTTTTTTTAAAAGGGGAGGGGCTGGATCGTTTTTCCCCCCCTCCTTTTCACTGCAGCCCAAAATTAATGCCACCTTTTTTTTTTCCCCCCTCCAAGGGTTTTTTTTCGGGTTGATTTTTTAGGGTACTTTCCCCCCTAAATTTTTTTTTTCCGATTTTTGGGTTTTTTGCGGAAAATTTTCCCTTTTTTTCGGGCGTTTTGGCGGGTTTGCGCTGGCTCGCTTTCCCTTTCTTTTCGGGCCCTTTTGGGCTGGACTTTTTTTTCCCCCCGGGTTTTTTTGGGAAATGTTTTTCGGGCGGCATATTTTTTCCGTCCCCACCCCTTTCCCCTTTCTTTCCCCTTTCGGGGTTTTTAGGGGTTTCAAAACCCCAGCCCCCCTGTGTGTGGGGTTGGTTTCCATTTTTCCGACCCGAATTTTACGAAGCCAACAGCCCCCCTTCCCTAACCACCACCAGATTTTTTTCCGGAAACCCCAGGGGTTTTTGGGACCCCGGAAGGGTTTTTTTTCCCCTTTTTTCCTTTCCCCCCGGTCTAATTCCTTTACTAAAAGGGGCCACTTCTTAACCCCGAGGGAAAAAAAGGACCCATTTCCCAATCGTACACCGTAAATTGTCTTTTTGGGGCCCTTCTAGTCGCCCGGGGTTTCTTTTTTGGGGGCCTTAGCCAGGCTTTGCCCCCTTTTTCAGAATGCCCCCAAAAATGCTTTTCCCCCGCCCGAAGGGGAATTTTAAGCTTAACCCCCCCATCATTTCCTCCCGCCGACAAGGGGCCCTTTCCATCGTTTAACAAGAAATTTTCTGGACCCGCCCCCCATTTTGGGAATTAAAATCCCCAAATGTTTCCTTTTTTCCCTTGTCCGGAAAAGGAATTTTTGTGGGGCCTTTTTTAACCCCCCTTAGGGTGAACGGCTTAATTTGATTCCCTTTTTTTCCCCTTTCGGGAGGGGTTTTTGGGCCCACCACGGAAAATTACCCCTCTTTTTTTTTAAAAAAAAACCCAAAAAACAAAATTTTAACGGGGAAATTTCAAACGAAAAAAAAACCCCCCAAAAAAACTAAAAACAAAAAAAAACAAAAAAAAAAAACGTTGGTCAAAGAAAAAAGGGGTAAAAAAATTAAAATCACAAAACGAAAAAGGTGTTTGTTCGGGGGGGGAAAAAAATAAAGGAATTTTTTAAAATGTTTTTTCGAAAGTTCCACCCCGCATAAAAAAACGATCAAAATTTTTTTCATTTTTTTCCGTTTTTTAAGGGTTTAAAGGAAAGGGGGGAGTGAGGCTGGTTTAAATACAAAAGTAATAGACAGAATTCGTTCCCTTTTTCCTAAAAAAATTTTTTAAACCCAAAACCCTTCTCCCAAAAACCCCAGTTTCGGGGGATCAACAAAACCCCTTTTTTTTTTACTAAAAATGTTCTTTTAAAAATTTTTAACCGGGGATAAACCCCCAAAACCCAAAAATCCCTTTTAAATCCATAAAATTTTTTTGGGGCGTAATTTAAAAAAGGGTTTTCTTTTCCCCGGCGTGGGCCCCCCGGGGGGTTTTTCTGAATTTTCTCCCTTTTTAAAAAAAGGGCCCAAAGGGGGAGGGGGGGAATTTCTTCCATAACCTCAGCTTCAGGGAACCCAAATTTTCCAAAAATTGGTATTTTAAGTTTTAAAAATTTTGGGGAGGGTTACAAAGCCACCCCAGTCTATTTTTTTCCCCCCAAAAAAAAACCCCCCAAAATTTTTTTTATTTTTTACCCATTTTTGCTAAAATTTTCGAAGTTTTTTTATCTTTAAATTTTAGCCATCTCGTTTTGTAAAAAAAATTGCCCCCGCCCCCGGTCGTAAAAAAACCCCCTTTTACCCGGGGCCTCGCTGCCCTTTTTTGGAAATACGGGGAAATTTCACCGCGTTGGTGATAGGACCACTTTCAAAAACCCCGCTACAATGGTCCCTGGGGGCCTGGGGGCTGGAAAAGGCGTCCAGCCTTTTTTAAAAAGACAACCCCGTTAATCTCAACCCCCCCTTAAAGTTGTCAAAAGGGCCCCGTTTACCTCGCCTAAGGAAAACCGGGTTAGGGGGGGTAACTTCCGGGGGCCCAAGAAAGGGCAATTCCCCAAAAAAAAGGGGGTTACTTTTTTTTTTTACCCCAAAATAAAAAGATTCTAGGGGGGAAATCAGAGGGGAATGGTTTCAAAACCCACACCAAAAAACCCCATGGAAAAGGGTGGCCTAAAAGGGGGGGGATGAATAAGGTAGGAAGGAAAAAACCCCCCCCAAAACATCTCAGCAAGGCCCTGGAAACCCAAATACAGGATCCCAAAAGGTGGTTTTTTGGGGGGTTTTTTTTCCCCTGTAATTGTTTTAAAAAAAAAGGGGGGAATAAACCCCCCTTTTTTTTCCCCCAAAAAAACCAAAACCATAAAAAAATCAAAATTTTTAAAAAAACAATGTGTTAGGAAATTCATTAAATAGTGGCAAATACCTTACATTCAAGAATTTTTTTTGGGGGCCCCCCAAAACCCAACCCCAAAAGGGGAGCCGGCCCCCAAGAAGGGGAAAATATTTCCGGCCCCAAGAACCCAACTTTCGGGTTTTTTTTTTCCCCGGTTTTGCCCCAAAAAACCCTTTCCCCCCCCCAATTTCGGGCCCACAAGGGGGAAAACCGGCTGCAAACCCCTTTTCCCCAGGCACGGTTTTCCCTTGGGCCACGGGCTCCCCCGGGGAAAGGAGAGGCTCCCCCCAAACTAAAACGAACGAAAACCCTCCAACCATCTGACGCCAAAGCCCCAAAACCCTTCCTTCCCGAAAGAGGGGGAATGGGAGGCTAATCCAGGGCAAAGTTGGGCGCCCGCCTGGGGCAAAAAGGACGGGTCAACCCACAAATGTTAGCCCAAAATTTACGGGTTTTTCCCCCCCTTTTTCTTTAAAACTTTTTTTTAAAAAGGGGAAACAAAATGAAAAAACCCCCTTTTTAAAAATTTTTCCCCTTTAAGGGCCCAATCGGGGGTTCCCCCCTTTTAACGAGGCCCCCCGGGAACCCTTAAACCCCTAAAACCGGGGAAAAAAGGTTAAAGGGGCCCGTTTTTTCCCAATAAGGGAAAAGACCGGCTTTTTTGGCCCCTTTCCAAAAGGACTTCCCCCTTTTCCCCCCGGGTTTTAGGGCAAACCGAAAAAGGGGAAAAAATTTCCCCCCCTCACGGAACCGGCCTTTTAAAAACCCGGCGCGAAATTCCCCAAAAACGCCATCCACGGGCCCAAATTTTTGGGGAGACCGAAGAAACGCGAGGGGGCCCCTTCCCGGCAATTCGCCGACACCGGGTTTCTTCTTTTTTCTTTCCCCCTGTACGTCATTCAAACGATGGGGCCCCCGGGATTCCAGTCCCCCACCCCGGGGGGTTAATGCTTTTTTCTTAAAAATTTCCCTTTAAGGAGCCTTTTTAAAATCGGGTTGGATAATAACTTAATTCCCACCATTTCCCCCGGTCCGCCCCCCTTTCCCGATATCTAGGATTTTGGAAAGCCCGCCCCAGTAAAAAGTTAACCCCAAAGATTGGGCCATTAACAAGGGAAAAAAGTTTTGGTCCTGCCCCCCAGTGGAACTGGGGAATTAAAATCCATTCGGCTTTCCTATCCAAAGGGTAGAATTTTTTTAAAGGCCCCAAACCCACCCTTTTGCCCTGGAACGAGGGTTAAGGGCCAAAACTCGTCAGTCAAAGGCCACGTTTCCCCCCCACAGACCGCCCCTCGGGGGGTCCGCGGATTCCGCCCCATTAAAACGGGCTTAATAACCCAGAAACCCCCCCCAAAAAGGAACCGCCCTCCTTCATTGCCAAAAACCCAAAAAGATTCAACCCATTTTCCGGAATCCCCCGGGCCCCTCTTTTGGGCCCTTTTTAAAAGTTTTGAAAGCAAAAACCCTTGGAAAAACCCGGTCCCCCTGAATACCCCCTATCCCCGCCCCAAAAGATTCCCTGAAACAAATCTTTCGAGCCAAATTAATCCAGGGCAAAGGGCCCCGACACGGGAACCCCCCTGCCCCTCACCAGGCGAAACTTTTTCCATTTTGGGGAAAAAAAAAAAAAGGGAAAACCTTTTCAGGCAAACTAAGACCTACGTTCCCCCCGGTTACCCAAACTGGGTTTTTTTCCCTTGTGAAAACCCCGCCACGTCCTTTTTTAGAAACCCCCTTTTAATGGGGTAGAAGATCCCTCCCCAAAAAAGGGGCTTTTTCAATCCGCGTCTACCCCAGGGGAAAGGCCCCCCCCCAAAAAGGGGGGGGCCCCCCCAAATTTCCCGGTCCCCGGAAACCAACAACCCCGGCATGGGGAACGGGGCCCCCTTTTGCATCAACGTGACAGCACTGGGGCAATCCCCCTTTGGGGGGGAAAAAAAAATTTTCCCCCCCCCCCCTTTTTTGAACCCTTTCCAAATCCCCCCCCCTTTTGGGGGGGGGGGGGAATTGGAAGGGAATTGGGGGTTTATTTCTAGATAATATTGGGGAAAATTGGGGGTAGGGGGATAAAATTTAATGGGGGGGGGAAACCCTTCTTTGGGTTTTTCCTTTTTAAAGGGGACAGATTCTTTTTTTTCCCCCCTTTAAAATGAATAAATTTTTCTTGTATGTTCCTCTTTCCCCTCCCTCCCCCCGATTTCCAAAACCCCCTTTTGGGGATATTCCCACCCCTGAATTTTTTTTTTTTTGGGGTTTTTCCCTTTTTTTGTTTTTTTTCTGGGTTTTGTTTTTTTGGCTTCTGCTGTGTTTTTTTGCGGGTTTTTTTTTTCCCTTTTCCCTGGTTTTTTTGCTTTTGGGGTTTTTTTGGGGGAAGTTTTTGGGGGGAAAAATTTTTTTTCCCCCCCCAAACCCTTTCCGGGGTTTTCTTTTTTTAGATTACAGTTTTTTTTTTTGGGGGGCCTTTTTATTTTGCCCCAAATTTGCCCCCCCCCCCCGTCCCCAGGCCCCCCCCCCCAAAAACCCGCTCCTCCCCCCCCACACTTTTTGGGATTTTTGGGCTTTTCCGTTTTTTGTTTTCCTTGGTTGTTTGTTTTCCAAGGGGCCTTTTGTTTTTTCTCCCTTTGGGGCCCCTTTTTTTTTCCCCTGTTTGGGATGGTTTTGATGATCAGATTCTGTTAGAGCAGATAAAGGTGCTCACCTTATAACTGAATCCGACATATCAAAAAGTATTTTCGCTTTTTTTTTAATCAATGGGAATCTCTCGAGAATTTCCGTTTCTCTTTTGAAGCTTATGTAATGATTGCCTATGATATCTTTCGATGTCCCTAGCTTATACTGAAGGCCAAGTTGCCGTTTTAAAGCATTATAAGCGACAACTGCTAACCGTTTATTTCAAGTGACCAAACTTAAAAATCTTAAACCATTTTTATAAGCAGTAATGTCAGACTTTGGTTTGTTTCATTTTCTTCAATTTTTAAATTCTGCAAACAGCTTTCAGATTTTTAAAATAATGCCTGAAATTTACCAGAATCTGAATACATCTGACATCTTTGAAACAAAAGGTAAAGTTGAACAACAACATGAACAACAACAGCAGAGAAGAGCACGATTTAAGAAAATAAAAGACAGTGTTTGACAATATTCAGCAATACGTCTTCAAGTTATGTTTAAAAATCATATACAAGTATAAAAATATAAAATTTACAAAAAGTCGATGACAATGACGACAACGACTACTATTACGACGACGACGACAAAATGGAGTCTTATATAATCTTTAGATACACATATATGGAGTAAAAGTATATAAAATGCAAATACTTTTAGTGCACAATGATATCAATGTTAATCGCATAGTTTTTCCAACGGACGGATATTACCGTCTTTTAAGTAAATCTTTATTTTAAGGGGATAAGTATTTTCTCACAACAAACGTGCAGACTTAAATTGTATTTATACACAGAAAAATATCTGATTTCATTGTAAAAATATTTCATTCTGCATTACGACGACTTCCATGGTTGAAACTATTTTCATTTGTGTCAGTTCGATTTTACCAAAGAGAAGAAATAAATTTGAAAGATTAAGAAAAATCATCGGACTATAGCCGACGAAATACAAACAAATTGTTTTCATATGTAAAAATATTACAACCACAAGGATTAAAGCGTTTCTATTGAAGACATTTTTCGAACTGGAGGTGAAGGAAGTCATCTGTAAATAGCACCCGAAAAATTAAGCATAAATGGAAGTATTTTAAAAAATGGAAGTTGTATGTATTCATCCGTTTTTATAAACTACCATATCATTATTCCAAATTATCATATGAAAATGTTAAAAATTAAAATATTTAAAATGCAGTCATATCGAATTTATTTCCTGGCTCAGATATTTGATGAATATGAATGTAAAATATTTTTCTGTATTGTTACCTTTATACCATTTCTAAAACCGGTATCTGGTCAACGATATTAGCAATAGATATAATTTCATAATCGGTTTAAACTTGTAGACACACAAACCTGAAGTAGTATTTCAATTTGTTGATATACTGTAGATTTCGTTTATCAAAAACAACAAAAAAAAAAACTCATTATATTATTATCCCTTCCCTTCAGCAAATTTATCTTCCTAGATCCCAGCTTAAAACCAAGATTTCGAATTCTTATTTTTAGACACTCCTACTTAGCGTAGCACAATCTTTCTAACTAATTTCTCTGCATTTGGTCTGATGTTGTGCGAATCCAATCTTAGTAAATATCGAAGAGTAGGTCTATAGAATTTCAAAACTAAAAAGAACAGACATATCCAAATATGGAAATCTTGATTTTCAGTCAGTCACGCGAATAGAAGCTCATAAACATTAATGCAAACATTCTTGGGTTCATCTTGCCAACTTTTAAAGTTTCTTACAAAAAAAAATGACCAGATTTGATGAACAAAAATTGAGTAGCAGAGTGATTAATCCGTTATCCCTTGAGATGAAAATTATTTTCTTGGGCGACTTTTTGAGAATTCACTTTCGAAAGCGCTCTACGAACATATTTGCTTATTTAGTCATTGTTTGATTTCTTTTTATTCATCATTTTCAGTTTTTTTATTTATTTGTCAGTTGTTGTCGATTCTTGACCAAAATGAAAACGTAAAAAAAAAAGAAAAAAAAGTAAAACATGATCTAAGAAAAATGAAAGATCATATTTTGATAATTGATTTTCACTATAAAAATATAAATTATCTGAAAGTATATATAAAAAAGTCAAAACGTGTCAAGCGAATTTGTTGAATACGAATTGATTACATCAATATTGTTTTACTGATATTGAACATGCTAAGATTTTAAATATTTTTGACATTTAAATTCTTTTTATCTTTCTTCTTCGTTCTTCTTCTTTCGATTCTTCTTCATGGGAAGGGCCAGTGTCACCAGGCGCCTAAACGTACAGTATGCACACTTTTTTCCTTTTAACACCTTTCTTAGTGTTGTGTGTGTGTGTTTCTTTTTGCCGTTATTAAGAAAAACAACCTTCACATTATTATTGAAAATGGTTGACAAGTGGCAATTCACGGTTTATTTCAACGGCACGCATTTACACAGGCACACAAACACATGCAGAGCAGGCTGCTTATTGTGAAGTGAAAGTTGACGAGTTCGTCTTGCTAGGGCATTCAGACTAATTTAAAGCGGTTTTTTACTAGTTGTAAAATACGAGGTTCAAGAGTCATTTAAAGTAGAATGACGTTGTACGTATAGGTACCTCCACTTGGTCGCGTAAAAAAACAGCATAACATGACGAAAAAAGGACCCAAACTCAATAAAAACAAAGTTTTATCATCAAAATGTTTATGCTAATATTTAGAGGAAAGACCAAAGAAAATTTTTCATTATTTTTTGAAATTTTTTTACTCCTTTGTACTACGTTGTAAATTTTGGTTAAAAAGCTTGTTTTTTTACGTTAGCAACGGATCAAAGATGAAGGTTAGTTTTTTTTTTTTTTTTTTTTTTCGGTGAAAAACATTAATTTGAAATTCTTGCAAAATTCAAATAATTGTCGGTTTTAATGAAACTTTCAGAACATATTAAAAAATAAATGAAATTATTTTTAAAATTTTTCTTTTGAAAAAAAAAATGAAATTTTCAGAAATTAAATTTTAAGGGGATATTATTTAGTTAAAAAACAGGACTCTTTGGAGAAAATAAATCATCAATATTTTTTTATAAAACAGTTACCGTTTAATCAAAATCTGCTCCGAACTGTAAAATAAAAATGCAATAAAACTAAGACAATTAATTAGAAAAGCTTTTAATTGCTTTTGTAAATAAGTTATAAAGGAGGACACTATTGTCTGAAAAAAATAAAATTTTTTCGATGGATAATGAATTTTACAAAAAAAATTTTCATTTTTTAAAAATTTTAATTATAATAATATAATAGTAGTAAAATCGTTTAAAATTCTTCATTGC